GCATGTCTGCCAGGGCGGCTGAAAACCCCGGGTTTGGACACCAGCCAGCCCCAATGACCGTGCTTATCAGAGCACTGACACAGGGCTGCTTCTGCTGAAAGACACTGCTTCCAGCTCAGCACCCCAGCTCCTTGGTTAACTTCTTTTTTGTTTACTTTATAAAATACAGATGAAGATGAAAGCAGAAAAGGAGAGAGAGGAAAAAGCAGAGGGTAAAAAAGAACTTCATGCATTAATGGAAAAAACCCACATCTACCTGGAAGAGGAAAAAGCCAAGAAAGAAAGACAACGTGATGCAAACATGGAAGTACAGAAAATTCAGATCCAGCAAATGGTAAATAGAAGAGCTGTACCCTGTCAAGCCCTTCAGAAAGAAACATGCATCTAAACCAACAGCACTAGCTCCTGCCTGAGAGGAAGCTTGCTGTGTTTTGTTTGGCATTTTTTGTTTGTTGGTTTTGTTTTTTTAAAATCATTTATGCTATGCATATGCTGGTGTTGGGGACCAGCCTCCTCTCAGAACAGTGGTGCAAGTCAAGGCTGCCCTCTTGCATTTTCTGGGCAGGTCACCAAAGAGCAGCAGCTAATGCTGATGTTCACTCAGCTATCCAGCGTACCCTTTCTGTGGGGGGTATGGCAGGGGAGAGGGGTGGGGGCAGGTGATATTTGACAAATATCAATTAACTCCACTGCAGATCTCCTGTAAGCTTTTACCCTCTCTAAGTTTTAAGGGACAATTACATTGTGAAAGAAATACTAAGCTTTGTTATTCACTTTTCTTCATCAGGCTGAAAAGCAAGCAAAAAAACAGCAGGAAAAGGAAGCAGACTTGGACTATGATGCTCAGACCAAGGTTATAGCACTCTGTGAGGAGCATGAATTCCAGAGCTATGCAAAGCAATTAATTGAAAGAGAGTCCAAGACTACACATCATCTTTATCCTCTTCTCAAAGTGTCCAAAGATAGAAGAGGACTTGGACATGGGCCATTTTCCAGAGGAAGAGCAGGAATACATACTAGTTTTCAAGCACAGGATGGTACTGGGACCCATTTACCTTGTAGTACCTGTACTACTGCTCAAAAAGTTAAAACATGAAATAACACTGAGACTATCCAGCAAGGAAAGGCAGAAGCAGTTTTCATGTGATTAAAAAAATTATCTTTTTGAACCTTACAGGCAGAGTTAAACTGTAAATGATCTTATATACTATGAAACTGGAAGTCTATTTTGAAAAAGAAAAAAGAAAAAAAGACCAGAGAACTGGTTATATTCTCAAAAATCCCCAGCTTGTCAGTTTATTAAGCTTGACACAGGAACGCATGATATCTAATTGGAAAGCTCACTATTACTGTTATATTTTTATTATTCACTGTTCTAAAAATTCACTATATCGCAGGATTTTCTGGTCTGGGATACAAATTTCCAGTGCAAAACCTCTTCTTCATAATAGAAAAAAGCAAAACAACATTGCAGAATCTACAGGGGAATTAAAAACAACCTAATACATGCAAAAGTTACAAGTTACGGTACTGCAGATTTTATAGCATTTTCCAACTACCTCTGTAAAACAAATGTCACACTATAAATTAGTTTTATTATATGAAAACACAAACATGATTTGATCACAGCCCTTAAAAGGTAACCTAGGAGGCAAATAGGCCCCAATATAACTCTAAATAGCTACTACAAAAAGAGCATGGCAACAAGAAACAACATAGTTGGACTGTTCTTTCAAAAGAGTAATGAGGATTCAATCTGCGGGAAATAGATCTGGATCTAAATTTGTTTCTCAGTTTCCTCAGCTGCCGTACTCTCCAATACCCAAGTCACACACATGTTTTACTCCTTAAGCTTAGTTTGCTGAAATTTTACCCTCATAATGACTTCCTCCACCAGTTTACATAGGGTCTAAATGGGGTATCCTCCTATTCAGGGGTCCACTGGAAACAGATTTGCTCTGCTGCACATAACCTTCAGTTTCAGCCCCTCAGCTGCCTGTCTGTTGGCCAAACTAGAAAATGACACAAGTTCTAAAAAAAACCCCAACCAACCAACAAATTAGGCGAGGCTTCTACAAAGGATGCTTGCCAATATTTTAGTTTGGAAAACAGGTCTTTTTTATGCCTTCGAGTTTCTGAGCCTGACTTCTGATAGCAACAGGCTCTGAGGAAAGCACAGGACTTAGAGCAAGGCGTGAGGCTACCCCGGAGGCAAGGTCCCTCCTGCAAACTGAGGGCCATGATGCAGGGCACAAGCTAAGTAGGATGAGTCAAAGGTGAATAGTTAAGATAAGAAGTCCTTGCCTTGCAGGATGAGTAAATAATGAATCAGCCAAGCAGAGCTAGGTTTACTCCCCCTACACTGTAGAACAGCTGGATGTAAGATGGATGTACTCCTTCCCAAGCGCAGCAGTCGCCTCATCGAGTAGTCTCTTCCAGGCAGGGCAAGGGAGGAACTTCTGGATGGAGGGGGAGGACCAACCTCCTCCCTCAACCAGCTCCCAGGACCGCCAAAGGTCTTCCTCTGGGAAAACGGCGCCCAGGGCCGCCTCTTAAGGTCGGCTAACGGAGGAAGGTGAGTTTCCACAGGCCTGGCGGGAGGCCGGCTACGCGAGGGACGCGGCGGCCCACAGAGCCGAGCCGCCACGCCACCGGCCGCGCAGAGCAGAGGCAACCCAGCGGGACAAAAACCCGCCTAGGTCGGCGCAGAAAGACAGAGGCAAAGCGGGGCGTGACAGCCTCTTACCGGGTCCGGGTCGCTACAGAGAAACAGGTATTTCACGAAGCGGCTGCGGAGGGGCACGCGCGCGGCCTTCCCGGTAGCCGCCGCTGCCTGGGCC